ACGAAGCGTGTGAAGGGTGGGCCGAAATGGGCGTGCGGGACGCATGCGGGCACACCCACTGGGACCTTCGGTGGAGCTCCCTATGGGGCCACGAAACGTGTGAGGGGTGTGCCGACATGGGTGTGCGGGACGCACGCGGGCACACCCGCTGGGACCTTCGGCGGAGCTCCCTATGGGGCCACGAAACGTGTGAGGGGTGTGCCGAAATGGGTGTGCGGGACGCATGCGGGCACACCCACTGGGACCTTCGGAGGAGCTCCCTATGGGGCCACGACACGTGCGAGGGGTGTGCCGAAATGGGTGTGCGGGACGCATGCGGGCACACCCACTGGGGCCTGTCGTTGGAACTCCCTATGGGGCCACGAAAGCGTTGTGAAGGGTAGGTGCCAAAAATGGGTGGGGCGGATACGCCGCATGCGAACACCCATGTTGGGACCTTCAGTGGAGCCCCCTCTTGGGCCACGAAGCGTGTGAAGGGTGTTGCCGAAATGGCCAAATGGGGTGTTGCGGGACGCATGCGGGCACACCCACTGGTACCTTCGGTGGAGCTCACTATGGGGCCCAAGAAACGTGTGAGGGTGGTGCCGAAATAGGTGATGACGATGGATGATGGGGGGAGGAGGAGGAAGGAGGAGGAGAGGAGGAGGAGGAGGAGGAGAGGAGGAGGGAGAGAGGAGAGGAGGAGAGGAGAGAGGAGGGAGAGGAAGGAGGAGAGGAGGAGAGGAGGAGAGGAGGAGAAGAGACGCGGGCCACCGTCTCTTCAAAACGAGGACCCAACACCACAGGATGGTTGGGAAACAAACACACACAAACAATTCCCCCATGAAACGACGCCTGGCAAAAGGATACACCCCCAGAGAGAGAGAGAGAGAGAGAGAAAGAGACAAAGAGAGAGAGAGATGGACAACACCACGGCCATCGCTCCCCTGGCCCCTTCTCTGCGATGCCTCACGGCCCGCGAACCTCCACCATGCCCATACAAAAACAGCTGCACAGGAGCCTACACGGGATGCGGCGGGGGCGCTGGTGAATGCATATGCGCCCAGAGGAGGTCTCCGACCCCGGAGGCTAACCTTATCCGATGACGGCGGCGGCGATACCCATGGCCGGTTCACAGTTGGACCTCCTCCTCCTGCTCCTCCTCCTCCTCCTCCTCCTCCTCCTCCTCCCACCTCACTCCTTCTCTCTCGCTCCCTCTCATCCCCCTCCTCCCCCTCCTCCCCTCCTCCCCCTCCCCCTCCTCCCCCTCCGCCCGCCCCTCCTCCCCCCTCCCTCCCCGCCCTCCTCCCTCCTCCTCCTCCTCCTCCTCCTCCCCACCAAACAACCAACCACAAAACCCCAACACAAACCTCCTCCTCCTCCTCCAATGTTTTTTCTATCCGCGGCCAGCACGGCTCGAGCATGTGTGGCGTTTCTCCGACGCGCCGGCTGCCAACGCCTCCTGCCTCGAGCCTCTCTTTCCCTCTGACCCCCCGCGGGCCGGCCAAAGGCGCTGTGCGCCGGGGAGTTCCAGGCACGCGTTCCCCAAGACGACCGCACCCCCCCCAAGATTCGGGCCGAACGAAAGGGGGGGATTGGGAAAGGGGGGGTTACGAAATCTGCTGCATGCAGCTGGTTTCGGCCCCACCGGGGGGCCCAGTCCTCGATGCATGGGCGCCTCCGGCGCCGGGAGGCGCTGGGAACGTCAGCTACGTGAGCCGATTCTCCACCCCCCCCCCCCCTTGCTATCCCCGCCCTCCGCCCGGCCCGACAAGATCCCGCAAGACAGCCCCCGAGATCCCCGGGGAGCCCTCGGGAGGCCTGGACGGGGCTTCTCAGGAGGGAAAAAAACACACAGACACAATTAATCCTCGATTCCCAGGAAAATATGGGAAAACATGGGAATTGGGGGGGAAGACAAAAACCCAGAAAATATGGGAAAATATGGGGACTAGTTTTATTTGTGTGTATTTATTTGTGTGTCTTAATTTCCCTGTAGCTTCGCCATGCGAAGGGAGCCCAGCACAGCTCCACACGTGCCCTGCAGCGGCCGAGCGGCGAGGCAAGCGGGCCCCCGGGCGGCCCAGGAGCCCTCCGAGGCGCGCCCCACCACCGCCCGAAACGCTATGATCGCAGGCGATTTCTCTCCCCCAATCCCCGACTTCCGCCAGAAAAGTTTGGTCGCTCAGAAAAGGGGAGGAATCTTGGGATACGTCCCGAGGGGGCTATTCGGACGCACCCCTGTCGAGGATGGACGCCCCCCCCTCGTATATCCCAGGGTTGGGCCCCAAATTGTTGATCCTCTCGAGAACCTCACGGAGCCTGGGATAGGGGTCGACGCATCCCCTGTTATATGATCATGCATCCTTTTCTGGGGCTTTTGAAGAGGACCTTGGCGTGTTCGCTCCTTCGGCTTGCGGACGCTCCGCGCCCCATCAGAGCCCGAATCGCTAGGATCAAACATCATTTTTTTGTCGGTCTTTGAAGGACTTTGGCGTTTTCCGTTTCCCGGCCTGCGGACGCTCCACGCCGCCCCCGCGCGCCCCCAATGCTCAGGAGGGAAAGAAACACACAGACACAATTAATCCTAGATTCCGCAGAAAATGTGGGAAAATATAGGAAGTGGGGGGGAAGACAAAAACCTAGAACATATGGGGAAATATGGGGAATCTTTTTATTTGTGTGTATTTATTTGTGTGTCCCAGGGCCCCTTCAAATGACGCCACACAGAGAGCACGACCCCGAGACGGCTCCGCGGAGCGCCCTGGGCAACCCAGCAGGTCCCAAAAAGAGGGCTTCTGAGGGCCCATCGCCCGAGCAGTTTCAGCGCGCTGCCTCCTCGCCAGTCGCCACTCTCCGCCCCCCCGCCAGAGCCGCCTAAGGAATCAAGGTTCGACGGCGCAGCGTGGCAAGCCGAATAGAAGAGTAGATGTATATCAGAGTGAGGGGGCCGAGCGGTCATTCACTGTCCCTGGGTGCGTGGCTGAAGTGGGATTCCGCGATGCGGATTATTGTTGTTGTTTGTTGTTGTTGTTGGTGCTGGTGGTATTATTGTTTCTATTGTTGTTGTTGTTGTCGTTGTTGGTGTTGGTGTTGGTGTTGTTGTTGTTGTTGGTGGTGGTGGTGTTAGTGTTGTTGTTGTTATTGTTGTTGTTATTGGTATGGTTGTTGTTATTGTTGTTATTGTTGTTGGTGTTGTTGTTGTTGTTGTTGTGTTGGTGCTGTTGTTGGTGTTGTTGTTGTTATTGTTGTTGTTGTCGCTGCTGCTGTTGGTGTTGTCGTTGTTGTTGTTGTTGCTGTTGGTTTTGTTGTTATTGTTATTGTTAGTGTTGTTGTTGTTGGTGTTGTTGTTGTTGGTGGTGGTGTTGTTGTTGTTGTTGGTGTTGGTGGTGTTGTTGTTGTTGGTGGTGTTGTTGTTGTTGTTGGTGTTGTTGTTGTTGTTGTTGGTGTTGTTGTTGTTGTTGGTGTTGTTGTTGTTGTTGTTGTTTGTTGTTGTTATGTGGCGTCGTTCCCTTCGCAACCTGGCCCGCGACACACCCGCGCCTCCGCCCGCGAACCACCCGCGACTCGGCCCGAGACCCACCCGCGACCCGCCCGCGACCCACCCGCGACTCACCTGCGACCCACCCCACCCCGCGACCCACCCGCGACCCTTCCGCGACCGACCTCGCGACTGACCCCGCGACCCACCCGCGACCCACCCCGCGACCACCCGCGACCAACCCCGCGACCCGCCTCGCGACCCACGCGCGCCCACCCGCGACCCGGCCCGCGACCCGGCCCGCGACCCACCCGCGCCCCACCCGCGCCCCACTTTGCGAACCACCCACATTGCTTTATCACAGAGACCGCGCCTGCGGCGGGCTCACTGCATAATTTATACGTGGCCCCCCGCAGTTGCGAATAAGAGTGGGGGGGGCGGCGAGGACGTCGTCAGTCTGCGAGGCTCTGAAGAAGCCCGCCGCAGGCGCCTGAGTTTTACAAATCATGCATTGAGGCCGCCGCAGGCGCCGGTTTTTTTTCAAAGCAATGTGGATGGATCGCGGGGTGGATCGCGTCGCGTGTGGGTCGCGGGATGGGTCGTGGGATGGGTCGCGGGGTGGGTCGCGGGTGGTTCGCGGGGTGGGTCGCCGGCTGGGTCGCGGTGGGTCGCGGTGGGGTCACGGGGTGGGTCGCGGATGGGTCGCGGGTGGGTCGCGGGTTGGGTCGCGGTGTGGGTCGCGGGGTGGTTCGCGGGGTGGGTCGCGTGGTGGGTCGTGGGTGGGTCGCGGGGTGGGTCGCAGGGGGTGTCGCGGTGTGGGTCGCGGGCGGGTTACGGGATGGGTCGCGGGTGGGTCGCGGGTGGGTCGCGGGTTGGGTCGCGGTGTGGGTCGCGGGTTTGGGTCGCGGGGTGGGTCGCGGGGTGGGTCGCAGGTGGGTCGCGGGGTGGGTCGCAGGGGGGACGACGCAACAAAACAACAAAACCACAACAAGAATCCTCGCCGTGGATCCCCACTGCAGCCACGCACCCAGGGACAGTGAATGACCGTTCGGCCCCCTCACTCTGATAAGTTAGGCGCCTGCGGCGGGCTTCTTCAGAGCCTCGTAGACCGCCGACGTCCTTGTCGTCCCCTCATTCTTATCCGCAACTACGGGGTGCTGGTATATACATATACATATACATATATATATATAGGGAGAGAGAGAGAGAGAGAGAGAGTGAGACAGCGCGAGCGAACGTATAATCGGTCAGGATAGGGATGCGTACTATATACGATGTGCGTTGACGCGAACAAGGGTGTCTGCCCGCGCGTGGTTGCGAGCGTGCTTGTGTGAGTGTTGGTCACACTCTTCCTGCCGTGAGTCACCCTCCGCAGGCCCCTCGCCCTCTCTCCTCGCCCGCGCTTTGGCACCAAGGAGCTCATTGGCAGCCCCGCCCGGCTGCTTCGACTGCGTGCGAGCGCCACGTCCGCGACTGAAGGAAACGCAGGCGTGCGTGCATGCACCTGCCACCGCATGTACGCCTGCGTCCGGACGCCCAGGTGGTGGACACGGAGGGCGGCAACTTCTACGTGCTGAAGCACGGCGACAAGAAGCCGCCGCAGGCGGCCACCAAGGCCGGCGCGGGTGGGGCCCCGCGCCATCCTCGCGCTGCTCGTGCGTGCCACCTACAGATCTGGGCGCTGTGCCTGTTCTTGAGACCGGGCGTTCGTGCCCCGTGTGGGGGCTTCGGGGCCATCACAGTTCGACCTGGCTCGAAACACGCCGCAGAAAGATGGGGTCTAGCTGCTCGTGGTTCCGCCGGTTCTGGCCCACCGCGCTTCGGCGCGGCACGCCATTCACTTCCCGGCTCCCCAGCGTCGACGTCCTGAGCCTTTCCTAGCCTCCCGCCCCGCGGGGCGGAGCGACACGCCATCCGCTTGCCAGGCCTCGCGAGTGGGTCGCGGGTGGGTCGCGGGTGGGTCGCGGGGTGGGTCGCGGGGTGGGTCGCGGGGTGGGTCGCGGGGTGGGTCGCGGGGTGGGTTGCGGATGGGTCGCGGGTGGGGTCGCGGGTGGATCGCGGGTGGGTCGCGGGTGGTGTCGCTGGTGGGTCGCGGGCCACGTCGCGGGCCACGTCGCGGGGGGGACGACGACAACAACAACGCAACAAACAACAACAACAACAACAACAACAACAACAACAACAACAACAACAACAACAACAACAACAAACAACAACAGACAACAAACAACAACAACAACAACAACAACAACAACAACAACAACAACAACAACAACAACAGCAGCAGCAGCAACAGCAACAGCAACAGCAACAGCAGCAGCAACAACTGTAACAGCAACTACAACATGATCACCAACAACACCAACAACAGCAGTAATACCAATAACGTTAACAGCCACAGCAGCATCAGCAACAACGGCAACAACAACAACAGCAACAACGACACAAGAGCAAATGCAACAATAACAGCAGCAGCAACAACAACACCACCAACAACAACAACAACGATGACAGCAACAACACCAGCAACAACAGCATAACCTTAACAGTGTTCGTTGCTATCTGCTCGCATGCGATTCAACACGTATGTCCCAAGCCCTCGGGACCCGCCTTTTTCGTCTTCAACCGTACCCTTTTGGGGATATATCTTCCTTACCTGCCGCGGGGATTTTGTGCAGCCCCTGGAGCAGGTGAAGAGAGGACGGATGGAAGGGGGAAAAAGAAGGGTAGAGCACGAGAGAAGGTTGGAGCACGAGAAAAGGATGGAGAAGGATGGAAGGCGGGAGCCGTTGTCGTTGCAGTTTAAACAGGACCCTGATAAAGATACGGTGCGAGCCCCGAGGGGGGGGGCCTTCACAACGAAAAATACAATGTGCACAGGTGTGGGGCAGGATCAACAATATTTTCGCAAGAATGAGAGTTCAATGGCAGCAGCAACAACAATAAGTTTAAGACTGTCCCCGCCGATCTCCTATCTGCTCGCGTGCCTCTCGATGCAGATATCCCCAACCCTCGGTATGTGCTCTCTTCTTTTTCTATCGTACCCTCTTCTGGGTCTATCTTCCTTACATGCCACGTGCATTCAGTGCAGCCCCTTTCAAACAGGGGAAGGTAAGACGGATGGAAGAGGGAGGGAGCAGGATTGAGCACAAGAGAAGTTTATATTGTAGTGGCCTCCGGCCAGTGCCGCCAATCCGGGGCGATTCCGCAGCTGTCGGGGGCAGCCCAGCGCGTCAGGAGTTATTTTTTTTCTCAAGACGACTTGAAGAAAAACAAAAAAACAGGACGCAGGAGGGAGGACAGCAGGAGACGATCTCCCCCGCATAGCGAACGTACCCCGCATAGCGAGCCTCCCCCGGTCTCGATTCCTCCCTGGTCGCGCCCCCCGCCCCTCGGTCGCGACTCCCACCCTAGAACTCCCCAGTCGCGACCCTCCCTGGGGCCGGCCCGGGGCCCCACCCGCGTCGCGAGGCCCGGGGAGAGGCCCCGGGCAGAGGACGCAGCCGCCAGCGTGGCGGCATGGCGGCGCCGTGGTTGTGTGATGCCGTCTGGTCGCCGCGCCTGGGCGTCGGGGCACTGGAGGGCCTCTCCCCCCACGTCAGCCTGCGTCAGCCCTCCCCTTCCCCTCGCCAGAGCGAAGCTCGCCCCTCCCCCCCTACCCCTCCCGAGCCCCTTCCCCCCCCCCCGAGCACCCCCTTCCCCCGAGCACCGAAACGCGTCAGCCCACGTCAGCCCGCGTCAGCCCCCCCTCCCTCCTTCCCCCCCCTTCCCCCCGAGCACTCCCCCTCCCCTCCCCTCCCTAGCGCCCCCCCCCCCCCCCCTCGCCAGAGCGGAAGCCCCCCCCCACCCCCACACCTCCCCCCGAGCACCGAAATGCGCCCCCCCCCCCCCTCTCCAAAGCGAAGCCCCCCGCGCCCCCCCCCCCCTGAAGCACCGAACGCGTCAGCCTACGTCAGCCCGCGTCAGCCCTTCCCCCCCCTCGCCATAGCCCACCTCCCCCGAGCACCCCCTCCCCCGGAGCAACCGAAACGCGTCCAGCCCACAGTCCCGCGTCAGCCCCCCCCCTTCGTCCCGCAGCCCCCTTTCCCTAGCACCCACCCTCCCCGATCACAGAAACGCGTCAGCTCTACGTCAGCCCACGTCGGCCCGCGTTGCCCCCCCCCCCCCCCCCCCCCTCGCCCACAGCAGGCCTCCCCCCCCCCCACCCCCTCACCGAAACCCCCTCCCCCCCCCCCCCCCCTTCGCCAGAGCGAAGCCCGCTCCCCTTTTCCCGAGCCCCCCTTCTCCCCCCCCAAACACCGAAACGCGCCAGCCCACGTCAGCCCGCGCCAGCCCCCCGCCCCTCACCAGAGCGAAGTTCGAGCAAGCTCAAGCCCACGCTCTCAGAAACTCACACGCCGGATCGGCGGAATTAGCAGAAAACACGTGGCAGGACCAGACGGGCAGAGACCCTATCGGGCGGGTCGGGAGGGCGGGCCCAGGCGGCCAGGTCGAGCAGGCGGGGTGCTGAAGCGTGAGATCCTGCATGAATCGCGAGGAAGTTTCGAGCGATAGCGCGATTCCCAAGTAAATCGTGAGATTGGCCAAAGCGAGATTGCGATTCCTGAGTGTAGAGTTCTTGCACAACTTGTGAGGATGTCCCGCGCGAGAGCGCGATGTTGAATTACATTGTGGGGAATTATCAGTCGGGTGCCGTTGTTGTTGTAGTTCAGGGGCCAGCGGCTCTGTTTGAACTTCAAGAGTTCCCCTTGCAGAAATGCGAGACCCGGGAAGGTGCACTTCAGCTGGAAACCTACAGTGTGCGCCGAAGGGGAGGGGATCAACAAGAATTATCCGTAAGGGCTTCGCCCCATGCCGCCGGCCTCCTGTCTCGGATAATGGGAGATGCACAAGCTAAAGCATGAGGTCTGGGTGCCGCCGTGAAGCAGTGTCGGGACCTGTTTGTTTTTGGACCCTGACCCCGCCGATATGCGTGATGGGTGCCACCGAATTTCAGAAATGCGGCACATCCGCTTTGTTATTGGACCCTGACCCCGCCGATCTGCGTGAGGGGTGACACCGAATTTCAGAAATGTGGCACATCCGCTTTGTTGTTGGACCCTGACCCCGCCGATTTGCATGAGTGGTGCCACCGAATTTCAGAAATGTGGCACGTCCCTTACGTTTTTGGGCCCTGACCCCTCCGATTTGCATGAGGGGTGCCACCGAATTTCAGAAACGTGACACATCCCTTATGTTTTTTTGACCCTGACCCCGCCGATCTGCGTGGGGGGTGATACCGAATGTCCGGAATGTGGCAAATCCAACTTGTTCTTGGACCCTGACCCCGCCGATCTGCGTGGGGGGTGATACCGAATTTCAGGAATGTGGCAACTCCCTTGTGTTTTTGGGCCCTGACCCCGCCGATCTGCGTGAGGGGTGCCACCGAGTTTCAGAAATGTTGCAAATCCCTTGTGCTTGTGGACCCTGACCCCGCCGATTTGCGTGAGGGGTGCCACCGACTTTCAGAAATGTTGCACATCCGGTTTGTTTTTGGATCCTGACCCCGCCGATCTGCATGATGGGTGCCACCGAATTTCATGAATGTGGCAAATCCCATGTGTTTTTGGACCCTGACCCCGCCGATCTGCGTGAGGGGCGCCACTGAAGTTCAAACATGTGGCAAATCCCTTGTGTTTTTGGACCTGACCCCGCCGATCTGCATGAGCGTTGTAAATTTATACATCTCCAGAAATTCTGAGAACCCTCCCAGGGCGTGGTAGTTCTGCTGGTTTGGGCCCCCCCCTCGCGCGTTCATCATCAACAAGGAACAGTAAGCAGCAATAAGCCGAACTGTAACAGTGGAGACTGGAAGCTGCAACTGGCACAGGGAGCAGCACATACCCGGCCTACAGCCTGGTGGCCCCGTAAGGGGGCCGGCGGATTCTTCAAAACCGAAATTCACAACAGCAATAACAGTAACGACAGCAACGACAACAGCAACAGCAACAGCAACAGCAGTAACAACAACTACAAGCAGAATCCGCGCCGCGGAGTCCCAGTTCAGCCGCGCACCCAGGGACAGTGAATGACCGTTCGGCCCCCTTACTCTGATAGATGCGTCCTTCCTGTCCTATAAATGCCTCCTCCTTGTCGCACCCCGAGACGTGTCGCTAGGGCGGGCTGGGCGTTTCGCTTGAGACTTCTTCACCATGTATGATCCTCAACTTTCAAACATGTAACAGTTTTACGGATGGAAAGCGAGTGGTTTAAACAATGTGGTTCTCGCCTTAGCGCCGCGCGCTTTCTGTTTGAAAGTTCGCAAGCGCTTCACGGATGGAGGGCGGGCCGATTTCAAAATGTGGTTCTCGCCTCAGCGCCGCGCACAAGAGTCTTGACATGTTGCAAGAGCTTCACGGATAGAGGGCCCAAATGGAGGGTTGTTCTTTCTCCTAAATGTGGTTTTCGCGCTAGCGTCGCGAATTATTCGTCTTCAGAAGTCACAACCGTTTCAAGATTTCCCACGTTTGACGTCCCAGGAATGATGATATGGCACGATGTAGGATTGTCATGACGAAACAATGACGACGATTCACGGTGTTGAGGTCCAAAAAATGGCGTTCTGGCATGATGCACGGTCGTCAGGACGCAACAGTAACGTGATTCGCGGCGTCGAAGTCTCGAGAATGCTGTTGTGGCACGGTTCAAGATTTTCAGACGGTTGTTTTCCAACGGGGCATTTCTTTCAGTGAATATGAATTTTTGTGGCGACCTATGAAGGGGGAACTTGAAGGGAGGGTTTATTGCAGCGCCGTTGATGAGTCTTGGGTTTACATTGTTGCCTCCGTGCTCCTCCCCGTTTTCTTTCCCCTGCCGCCCCACAGTGGCGTCCTGCGTCCCAACCGCCAACCGCCAACGGGCCATCGGGCAAGGATTCATCCGTGCTATTGTCCGTAGTCGTCTGGGCTGCCTCTTCTGCCTTCCCCCTCCGCCCTCCCGTCTCCCGGTTCTCATCCTCCCCTTCCGCTGTCCCCCCCTCTTGCGCGAGTGTGTGGCTGCGCGCGCGCGCACGCGTGGGTGCGTACACGCCTGCAAAGGAGGAGGCTTCAGGATCGTAGAATTCCTTCTCACGCAAAATCCTGCCGGCGCTGGTTCGCAGGGGCTCCGGCGCAACTCTTTCCCCTTTGGGGGGCCTGGCCTCCTGGGACGGGGCACGCGCTGGGCAATTGCCCTCGCCCAGACCTCCAGCAATCCTGTGGGCTTGTTGTGTACGCACGACTGCCAGCTCCGTGCCCGGATTCTCAACGCCAATGTCCTCTCTGGGCTTACAGAACAAAACAGAACGGGAAAAAGAGGCGGAGGGAGGTGAAGGAGCAAGAGGAGGGGGAGGACGAGGAGGAGGAGGAGGAGGAGGAGGAGGAGGAGGAGGAGGGGGAGGAGGGGTAAGAGGAGGAGGCAGAATGGGAAGGAGGGATGAGGAGGAGGACGGAGAAGTAGGAGGAGGAGGAGGAGGAGGAGGGATAAGGGGGGGGGCGAGGATGAGGATGAGGATGAGAATGATGATGACATTGGAGATGATGATGGTGGCGATGGTGATGGTGGTGACGATGATATGGACGATGTTATTGTAAGCGATGAAAGATGATGACGACGATGATGCGAATGATGACGATGATGTTGCTGATGATGATGATGATGATGATGATGATGATGATGCTGATGATGATGATGATGATGCTTATAATGATGCTGAAAATGACGATGATGATGATGTTGCTGATGATATTGATGAGGATGATGCTGATGATGATGAGGATGACGAGCTGAGGATGCTGATAATGATGATGATGTTGCTGATGACGATGATGCTGATGATGTTGATGATTATGCTCATGATGATGATGACGACGACGACGACGATGATGATGATGATGATGATGATGATGATGATAACGACGATGATGATGGTGACGATGATGATGATGATGATGATGATGATGATGATGATGATGATGATGATATGATGATGCTGCTGATGATGATGCTGATGATGCTGATGATGATGATGATGATGATGATGATGACGACGGCGAGGGGGGTGATTAGGAGGAGGAAGAGGACAAGCAGAGGCAGGAGGAGGCGGAGGCGGCCACTTTGGGGTCGTCAGGCGTGGCTGGCGCTCCCCTGAGTAATTGTCACAGGGATCAGAGTCGGCAGGCGGTTCCAATACCTGGTAAGGCCCCCGCGCCTTGGGTGTCGGCCCCCATCGCTCTCCCGTGGGCCAGACGCGAAAAAAGAAACGTACCGAGGCCCATGCCCTTTCTCACTGTTTTCGTCCTCTTTGCATTTTTTTCTGATTGAGCGTCCGGTGGGGGCCCTCGCCTGAGTGTCGTTCAACCGATATCCATCCCCAGCGGCGTGGCCTGGGCCCCACTGGTCGATTGGCCCCCCATAGACGGGGATATAGGTCGTTCCCTTTGGGTTTCAAGAGGTGTATCCCCAACTGGGGGGGGTCATTTGGTGGGGGTCTCGAAGGGGATGGGGATGGGGATGGGGATCGGTTAAACGATACCGATCGCCACCACGGGTGAATTCGCCGCGGCGCTCTGGTCAAGAGGCGGCCCATGGGAGAGGTCTGGGAAGCGGCGGTGCCGATCCCTGTCCGCTTTCCCAGGGAGGGGTCCGCGCCGTGGGCTTCTTCGGCCTCTCCCCGCGCTCCCAGGGGAAGTCGCTGCCCTCGCTGCGAGGCACTGGCCCGTCTGCCTCGTCGTCGTCGTCCTTCCCGTCTTCCTCGGCCGTTCCTGCTGCCGCCACTGGAGGGCCCCCCGCGGTGCTGTAGAGCAGAAGCCGCGTTGCAGTAGGGTGGGGGGGCGCTAGGGGCTAGAGGGAATCATGCTCCTTAGCAGGTCCTTGACCACTGGCACGAGGTCGTGCCCGCACAGCGCCACGGTCGCGGAGTGTATTCCGTGGTCAGCAGTATCATGGGCACGGCGGGCTGGCGAAACGAGAACGGCACCTTGCCGATCAGGAGGTAGCGCGATGAATCCCTGAACATGTGGACGATCGGGTGCAGAGGACAGCTTGAAGAGCCCGCCGTCTGGGACGACGACGACGAGGAGGACGTGCGCGTGCTCGGGGGCGCGGGCACGGAAGAGCACGACGAGTACGCGGAGGAGGAAGTGTGAGGGCTGATGCACGAGGGAGGAGGATCAGGAATGGGCGAGGGGGGAGGGGAGGGAGGTCGCAGGCAGGGCGGTCGGTAGGGCGGTAAGGATGTAAGGAGGAGGGGGGGGAGGCATTTGGGCGTAAAGAGAAGGGAGACAGGAGAACAGGAGCTCGGTTTGGAGGGAGTAGGAAGAGGGCCCTTGACACAGGCGGCCGGCGACTGGAAGAGCCAGCTTTTGGGCGCGTGGAGCGCCTACTGCAAGGTGACGCCAGCGCATGAGAGGACCATCTGCCGCTCGGGGCGTGGCCGTGCAAGGGAAGAGGAGCAGCAGGAGGAGGGAGGACCCTCCGCCGCTTGTGGCGGGGGCTCAGTCATCCCGCAAGGAGAAGGGGGGAAGGCAGGACGACCTCCTTCGCCTGAATCTCCTTCACAGATTGTGGCCATCGTGCCTGAAATACCCAAACGTATACACGGACGGAGGGATGGTGGTCGCTTCCATCGTGGCTCTCGCCGTAGCGCTGCGCACACTCGTCGGCAAGATATTGCAGCAACTCCGAAGATGGAAGGTGTGCCAATCCCGCGTGGAGGGTGGTTCATGCTCAAAGTCAAGCGCTCTTTAGAGATGCCGTCAACCTATCGCCCCGATCTGAGACTTCTGCAGCATCTCGCACGGACGGAGGGTAGCCCCTTTTCGAAATGGGCCTGATCAGGCATTCGCAGTGTTGTGTGATCCGGCGCCTGACAGAGTGCATCAAACATCTTTATCGATGGACATGGACGGATCGACTGCATTTAAGAGTGACCCTTCCATGGAGCGACCATTAGCGCGGGCTCACAGAGGTCCCCCAGCACTGACTGGCACGCTTGGACTTGGCCCCTTTGCGGCCCCTAGAGGCCGCGCACCAAAGGTCACTCTTGCCCAGGGCCACCTTCACGTGTAGCCGAAAGGAGGGCGACTGCTTTTCGGATTGGGCATCTCTTTGCAAGCTTGTGCAACCTGAGTGCGCAACAAACAACTACGCGGACGGAGGAGAAGCGCGTTTCTAGAAAGGAGTCGCGTTTGGCACGCGCGTGATCTGTGGCACGATGCATGAAGCATAATCACACGTCTGATAGCTGCAATCGCGACCTTAGGCTGTTTTTTCCTAAGGCCCCACTGGCGTCTGAGCGGGCGCTCGTCTCTCGAGGGGGCGCGCTCCCCCGGTCGTGAGGGCAAACGCTCGTAGAGGACTTGGGAGGTGTGGGCCAGGACAGGAGGATGTGTTGCAGCCTTCGTGATGCATCTCGGGTTTGCGCTGGCCCTTCCTCCCCCATGTGTACAGGTGCGTCTGAATACGTACACTACATGTTTGCGTGTGTATGAACAGATACACGAGACATGCCATTTTCATTCACCCCAGCGGATGGTTCCCTTGGCCTCAGGGAAGGGCGGCGGTGCAGAAGTCACCACTCAGAGCCAGGGAGTCTATACACCGCCACCCACATGGAGCTCTCGTCGGCAGGTGTCTGTGTAGAGTTTTGCGTTGGTCCTTCGTGTTCCTCGTGTTACTCAGGCGGCCTGGTCCCTCCAAACGGAAGACCGAGGCAGCAGGCGAACGAGCGGAAGAACGCGAAAAGTACGGGCCGTCACCGACTCAATGCGACCTAGGCTGGCCCAGGCTTGCCTTTGCGAGAGGGAAGAGGAACATGCTTCCCCAGGCTGGCCTTTGAGGAAGGATCATTTTCTCCTCGCAGCCGCTTGAGGGTCTTGTCGGCTTGCTTATTGCGTTAGTCTGTCTTCCCTCCTCCTCCTGCCCCGCCGTAGGCCTCCCAGATGAAGTCCGAGCAGATGGGGTCGAAGGATCGCGCCGCATCACCGATGCAATGGCGATGCGGCTCGATGTGGAGCCCGGATTTCCCCACGCCGGCGTCGGAGATGCATCGCCGGCGTCGCCGACGCATCGCCGATGCCTCGACGATTCTCCGACCCCGTCTATTCGGACCCCTTATCAGGCCTCCACTCTCCCTCCTCGCAGCTGCTTAGGGGTCTTGCGCTTGCTCGCTGCGCCAGTCCTTCTTCGGTGAGAAGAGAGGGAGGGGGGGAAAGGAAGAGGAGGAGGAGGAGGAGGTGGAGGAGGAGGGAAAGGAGGATGAGAGAGGACGAAGAGGAGTGAGGAGGAGGAGGAGGAGGAGGAGGAGGAGGAGGAGGAGGAGGAGGAAGAGGAGTGAGGAGGAGGAGGAGGAGGAGGAGCAGCAGCAGCAGCAGCAGGAGCAGGGGCAGTAGCAGGAGGAGGAGGAGGAGGAGGGATGGAGGAGGAGGAGGAGGAGGAGTAGGAGGACAAGGAGGAGGAGGAGGAGGAGGGATGATGGAGGAGGAGGGGGAGGAGGACCAGTGTAAGCCCAAGAGTCACCAACGATGTTGGAATACACCCTCCCTCCAGGCTCCCTCTTCACAGGCCCCTGCAACGGTTCACTTCCATTGAGGGACCTGCCTCGTTGGAAGACACTCATTCGAAGACCCTGAAGCATGTCAAAACATGTTTTTCGGATTCCAACGCCACGGATCAACCTGACTGTTACGTCTTGACGACCCAGAGTCGTGCCAGACCGCCATCTTGGGCTTTCAACACCGCGAACGAACGCCGCTGTGCACCTTCATAATCCAGAATCCCTCCAAAACATGTTCTATGGTATTTTGTTCATGGGAATCCGTTGAGCTCTTGCAATCTGCACGAACGAATGTGCACGGCGCCCAGGCGGGAACCGCATTTTGAAAAACAAGAAACAATCAACAACAAAAAAACGCCCTCAATCCGTGAAACCCTTGCAGTATTCTAGAACGAATGCGCGCAGCGCAATGGCGGGAACAACACTTTGAAAAGGAACCGCCCTCAATCCGTGAAGCTCTTGCAAACGTCTGAAACGAATGTGCGCTGCGCTAGACGAGAGCAACATTTCGAAAACGGGTTCCCCTCAATCCGTGAAATTGATACACATGTTTAGAACGAGTGCGCGCGGCTCCACGTAAGGCGAGAGCCACATTTTGAAAACGACCCGCTTTCAATCCGTGGAACTGTTGGCGACTCCACCAGCGGAAGGTCAGCCGAGGCGGACGAAAGTCAAAGTCGTGGCCTCCCCCCTCCTCCTCCTCCTCTTCCTCCTCCTCATCATCACCCTCTCATCCTCGTCCTCATCCTCATCCTCCTCCCCTTCCTCTTCCTCTTCCTCCTCCATCTTCCCTCCTCCTCCCCCTCCTCCTCATCCTCCTGCCCCTCCTACTACTCCTCCTCCTCCTCCTCCTCCTTCTCCTCCTCCCTCCCTCCCTCCCTCCTGCCTCCCTCCCTCTCCTCGTCCTCCTCCTCGTCCTCCTCCTTCTCCTCCTCCTCCTCCATCACCCCTCCTCGTTCTCCTCCTTCTCCTTCTCTTCCGTTTCTTCCTCCTCCTCCTCATCATCATCATCCCTCCCTTCTCCCTCCCTCCCTCCTCCGTCCTCCCTCCCTCCCTCCTTCCCTCCTCCTCCTCGGGTTCTATGCAGCTCAGCAGCTTAAGGAACTAGCAAAGCCGTGTGTTGGGCGTGTTGAAGGTAATCGGTCCGATTATCTTGATAGGATTTCGCGTGGAATTTGGCCCAAAGCTTACAGCAGAGCTGAGCTAGCCAAGAAGCAGAAATCTGTCGTTTAAGTAGTTTGTCCCCGACCTAGTCGCTACATCCAGAACTCCAGAACTCCTCCTCCTCCTCCATCACCCTATCCTCATTATCCTCCTTCTCCTTCTCCTCCTCTTCTTCCTGCTCCTCCTTTCCCTCCTTATCCTCCTCCCTCTCCCTCCTCCTCCTCCATTCCTTTTCCTTCTAGGGAACTTCTCCCTGTCGCACCCCGAGGCCAGTTGTTAGGGCGGGCCGGGCGTTTCGCCTGAGACCCCCATCACCATTTACGACCCTGCGGCTTAAAGCCTGACAGTCGTTTCACAGATGCAGGGTGGGCCGTTTTCAAAGTGTGGCTTTCGCTGTGGCGCGGCAAATAATCGTTTCAACCTTTACAAGAGCTTGACGGATTGAGGGCGGGTGGTTTCAAAAGGTGATTCTTGCTTTAGTGCGGCGCACATTCGTTTTATAAGCTTGTAAGCGCTTCACGGATCGAGGGCGGGTGGTTTTCAACATGTGGTTCTCGCTTTTGCGCGGCGCACATTCGCTTCACAACTTTGCAAGAGTTTGACGGATGGAGGGCGGGTCGTTTTCAAAATGTGGATGCCTTAGCGCGGCGCACAGCCTTTGTTTTAATGTAAGAGGTTCATTGATTGAGGGCGGTTATGTTTGAACTTGTGGCTCCCGCCTCAGCGCAGCGCGCATTCGCCTACAACATTTGCAAGAGCTTCGCGGGTTCCAGTCAACAGCGCACAAGGAAAAGAAAGGTGTTTTGGAAGGGCTCAGGATTACGCGGGTGCAGCCGCTATGCTTTGGCATGCATCAGGGTCTTCAAACGGGTGTCTTCTAACACGGCAGTTTTCTCAATGGGAATGAACCGTTGTAAGGGCACATTGAGAGGGAGCTTGGAGGGAGGGTTTATCCCAACACCGTTGATTACTCTTGGGCCTACACTGGTCCTTCTCCTCCCCCTCCTCATTCATCCCTCCTCCTCATCCTCTTCCTCCTCCTCCTCCTCCTCCATCCCTTCTCGTCCTCCTCCTCCTCCTGCTCCTGCTCCTGCTCCTCCTCCTCCTCCTCTTCCTCCTCCCCCGTCTCTTCCTCCTCCTCTTCCTCCCCCCCCTCCTCCACCATCCTTCCTCCTTCTTCTCCTCCTCCTTCTCCTCCTCCTCCTCCTTCTCCTCCTCCTCCTCCTCTTCCTCATCCCCCTTTCCTTCCTCCTCCTCCTCCTCCTCCTCCTTCTCCTCCTCCTTTTCCTCCCCCTCTTGCTGCTGCTGCGCTCATGCCCTCGATGCGATTTGGTGGTGCTCCGATGCACAGATGCAAGCACGCGCGGCCTGGGAGACGCCTCACAGGCGAATCGCTTCACGATCCCTCCCCTCCTCGAACTCGTCCTCCAAGCCTCAGCCGACCCCCCCCCCGCGCAGGCGGCAAGCGGGGAAGGTCAGCACCTCCTGTGCACTCCCTCTGGCTCGCTCTGCACATGCCCATTCTACCGTCGGGTGGCAGCCAGACTCTGAAAGGAAAAGGACGAGTGTCGTCCCATCACAAGTTCTCCACTCCCAGCCCCATCCCCCTCCCAAGCAGGCGGCAAGCGGGAAAGGCCGTCGCAGCTGTGCACAGCGAGCAAGCTCCACCCTCCATCCATCATCAAGCCTTC